CAAAAATTTAACATTTTTTTTAATTGAAATCGAAAAATGCAGATATACAGATGTAAGAAGCTGATATGAAGAGTTTTTGAAAAAAAGCGACACGAAAAAGTTTGGCGACTGCGACGTTAATTTAGTATTTAATATATTGACACCGCGTGTGTAATTCAATTACTTCATAAGTACTTATGTATGTAAATTGGTAAACATAAACTTCAACAAGTTCAGCCGCAAAGACGCGAGGTTACTACCTCAGCGTAAGCCGTTAGTTTCGCAGCGAGAAAGCTTTTTACCATGAACAGCTGGTAAGAGTAGAAAACGGTACATAAGACTTAAGCGACAAACTTGAGTGCCTAACTCTAAGAAACATGGCCACAATTAGTGAATAAACAAGAGTGATTGGCATTGGAGTGCAAATTCGTAGCTTTTGAGTGACGCATTTTTAACCGCGCTTCACTTGAGTGCAAAATATGTGGAATAAATACGGCAAAAGAAGTAGCTAAGCTATTTTTGACTCAACCTTTTTATTAATTTCTGCACTGCTTTTACCATATGCGCTTTGACTCATTGCTTTGACGCTTGCTGGCAGCGTAAATGCCGCATCTTACATGTGGCAAGCCAACAGCTAGCTGCTTCATGAGCCTCGCCGTTGAATATGCAGCTTTAGTTCTGACTTGAGTTTTTCGTTGAACGGTTATTGTGGTTGGTGCGGCAGTGTGGTTGTGGCAAGTGTGGTGAACAATTAATTATTGAAGAGAAAAGAAAAAAACATATAAAAAAAATTTAAAAAAGACATAAAATTTATTTATATGATTTACTTAAAACAATCAAAAATATGAAGCCTTGAGTGTTATGAAAAAAAGATAGTGTTCCAGTGTTTGCTAATGAAATCTTATACCAAAAATTTTGAAAATATAATTATAAAAAAAATAATATCAAAAAAATTTAATCGGAAATAAAAATTTTCCAAAAATAGTGTAAAGAAAGTTTCAGTGTAATTATTGAAGTGTTGTTGTTGTCACAGCACATAGCCAGTTGTTACTTTTGTAGTCATTGCCACCACTTTTGCTTTCGTTTTGCGCGTTGTTGCTGCGCTGTGTTGTAAAATTGCGTTTTATTTTGCTTTGCTGCTCAAGTGGCGGCACAGAAAGTGAAAGTCCTCGCAGAGCAGGAGCTTATAGCAGTTTATACAAATTTAAATATACTAAGTCGAAAAGTAAAAGTAAACAAATTTTAATAAATACTCCTGTTCGTGTGGATGTGTTCAATTACTAAAAAATAAAAACCAAAACTATTTTTTATAAAATTTGCAAAATGTCAAAGTTCACTCGCCGAAGACGCTCTGCCAAAAAGGATACGTGGCTGCGAGTGCTTAAAGTTTTAATTTTTCTTACACTGCAAGCATGTAGCATCAACGTACTGGCGCATCCCAGCGCTGCGCAAGAGCACGATATGCTGATACTTGACGCCTTGTCGAGGCGCAGCGGCGGCGGCGGCGGTTACTACAACGAGGGTTCTGTCATGGAAATGCTGGCGAGAAGTAGTTACACGCAATAAGTTTAAACCTTTTATTATAATTTAAATAAAATTTACTGTTTAAGATAAAATTGAAAATGAAAAATTCTCATAGAAATTTGATTTCCACTTATTTCTGTCATATACTGGAGTAGTAAAATTTAATTGTCAATACTTGTATAATAAATTCAGTATTCGTTCCTGGTCATTATTGTCATTATCCGATACGTGACGTATGACCCAGCAGCTAATAATTGATTTGAGGCTGGAATATTATGCGCTATTTCTTTTTATCATTAATCCATTTATATCTTTAGTGGCTTTGTGTGACCCACTTTTTTCGAGCTTAATTTAAAAAAAAAATCTTATATATACCTATATACTATGAATTGTTGTAAGCATTCCTCTCAAATAATATACCTTTAGTGGTAGCTCTAACTAATTGTGGACACTATTTTTACAGTCGTGCAGTAGCTTAGTTTGAATCCATGATGCTTTAGCTTTAATCGAAATATGGAGAATGCATCTTTAATGAAATCTGCTTTTATAAATTTGAAATTGTTGACAAAAGTTCACCACTATAAGTGTGCAAAGATTTACTTGAAGCAAAACTAATTTTATACATTTAAAATCCCAAAGGACTTATGTTTATATATCTAATGCCGCATTAAAACAAAAAAAATTATTCAAGAGATTACCCAAAAGATTTTTAGCAATATTACCGGGGATTGCAGCACCGTTGCAATTTCATCAAACCGACTGACGTATAACGATCGCTCTTTGATAACAGGTTTCCTGTTTTGCTTTCAAATTTCCATTTGTTTAAAATAATTTTTATAGAATTTTCTTGATTCAGTGCTATTAAAACTTGCTTAGAAGCATGCGTTTTGAATCCCTTAACATCCTTTTGACATGGTAGGTTGTTCACAGTTTTGTTGTAATTAAAAATTATTTCATGGATTACCAAATCAATCCTATACGGTGCTATGTTTATAAATTCGTTATTTTCTTCGGTCAAAATTCCATTTATACGTGGCCATTTGTGAGTCTTGAGTTTTCACATATTTTTTACGAAATTTTAAGTTCCGTGCGACAAAATTTTTGCACGACATAAATAACTTTCAATGTACCACGCTCGTATATTTCAGCTATTTCTTTAAAAATATTGACAAAGATACATACATGGCTCACAAGCTTCGGTTAAGTAAAGTTAAGTGTAATATTAGTTTAGTTCGAAAAATCTACGCCCTTTAGTTTTTTATAGCAACATAGGATTTGGCCAAATAGCAGGCGAAAAGTATTAATTTATTTGTATAAATTGACTCACGCATTCTTATTTCTTCATATATATTATTGTTTGGATTTTGTTCACCACAAATTTTGCCTTCGTGTGCCTAAGCTTCTTTCACTTCATAAAACAAAAGAAAAGAAAACACAAAAAAAAAATAAACAACTATTATTATTCTCAAAATACCAAAATGCTTATTACGACAGAAAAATATTAAAAATTTATTGACCGTCGCTAATAATCGAACATTGCAGCCAAGCATGCAATATATTAATAAATAATAGTTATTATCTTGTTTCGATGAACTCTTTTCAAAAGGGTGCTAAATTGAAGTGATAGTAATGAATAACTGATTTATTTCTATGTACAAGTATTAGTAGTAAAAGGTACGTGTAATTTTTTATATTGGCATTAAAGGGCTCAAATTAGTTTTCAAGATATTTATAACTAAATGAAAGGTTGAGTATTTTAAGAACAATAACAACAAAATTTTTCGGACACGAAGGAGATTTCAAGTAATTTTTACAACTTTATTACAATATTTATACATTCTTAACGAAAAAATTTTCATGCTTCTGTTGAAATGAGAACTTTTTAACCCTTTCCCTTGTTGATATATATAACATATAAAAATTTAGAAAAAGATGCAGGGGAATTAGTGTAGACATGTGATACAAATTTTTTATATTTTTTAATCGAAATTGACTGTATTATTAATTCAAAAATGGTATTATAATTATTAATATTATATTTAGATAATAAAATATTAATTACAATATTTAAAAATCATACAAGCAAAAAAAATACATTAAATGGAACTTAACGGGTTATACTCACTTGTGAAGTTCGAAAAATCGATTTATTTTACGCCTATTTGCAATATTCGAATGTATATATACATACTTCAGAATACTCTCTAATAATTTGAAGTTGATTCGGCAAATTTGGTAGTTTCGGAGATGTGAGCGTATTTGTAAGAATTTTTTAAGTTACTGTAATCAGCTCCCAAAACTGTAAACGCGGTTTTCTCGAAACGATGTTTTCAGAGTGGTTGACAAAAATTTCTCCAAAACGGCTTGACCTTTAGCTTGAAATTTTAACATGATCTTCACCTCCTTAGATATATTTGTCAGGATAAGGGTTTTGATAATAGTTTCGATATTTAAGGTCACTATGAAGTGTAGATTTTTTTTACAAAATTAAAAAAAAGGATTGCTTTTGGAAGGCTGAAATTTGGCCAAAATATAATATTTTACTGGTTCTTCGATCATTACCAAAATACGTCTATTGAAAAAATTAAAATTTTTGGTATTTCGATTCAAATAATTTTAAGCTGAAAAATCCCTCTCATTGTTTTTTTTTTTTTTGAAAGTTCTCATACAGATCCGCTACGGGCTAAGAAATAAATCCATAACTTTTTCAAAATTAATCGACAATTATTGAAGTACATTAAAATTTGGAAATGTACATTTAATTTAATTTACTTTTTTAATAAAATACCTCTTCGTGAAAAAAATTAATTAAAAAAGCATTTATTTTGACTTACAAGTGGATATAACCTCTTAAAATAGAATAGCATTTAAAACAAAAAAGATTTATTTTCATATAAATGAATGATTAATAATTAATATTTGAAAAAAATTAAATAAAACTAATTTTAATTAAATTATAAAAATTAGTTCGTCTAAAAAGAAAAATTGTTAGTAATACATTCCAGTTAATTTGCATAAGCATGAGTTTCACAAAATATAATTCGCGTTTTGAAACAAATTCGAAGAAGGAAAAAATTAAAAAACATTCCAAATTAATTTTTTGTTTGGAAATTAAATTTTTAATGAAGAAAATTTTAATAATTATTTTCTTAATTAACATCTTTAAGTATTTTAAGTGAAAGCTATAACAAATTCAAAATTTGTACAACCCAAATGATGCACTCTGTATAATTATAAATACGTTTTTTATCCGTCATCATAAACATGTGCAATATTTTTTTGCACACGAAAGAGGTTTCTTAATAAAACGTTTTCATTTTCACGCAATTTTTCATGCTTTTCTATTTCTCATAATTTTTGCGCATCAACTTTTCCACTATACACACATATCTACAAACGTATGCCTACAACTTTTATTTCACTTTATGCTGATTTAATTTCTATTAACTAATTTTTTCTTCTCCTTTTCTCTCGGCTTTCTCGTTTTTCCTTTTCAGTGATTCCGCAGTCTTGCCGCTTTCGTGGACACAAATTCGAATGTGGTCTTTCTATTTCGTGTGTGTTGGGCGGCGGCAAACCGCTTGACCTCTGTTCGGGCGGCATGATCTGGTCGTGCTGTGTGGACAAAGATCTCGACGCTGAGGACACGCACGCAAGTCAAGTGAACAATACAAGTGAGTATGATAGGTGCCTGGAAGCGCGGCAAGTAAAGAATGGCAGAGTGAAAAAGAGTTCTGCTAAAAATGAGAGGTTGCATTTGCGCAACGTAGCAGTAAAAATTCTAAAATTAAGTGCTTAGTACTGGTAAAATGCTTAGTGGAATGTAATAATAGCCGAAGAATTGCGCTTATGTAATTTCGCTGAATAATTTTGCGCAATAAATTTAATTCAGTTCAGTGTTGCAGCGCCGTTTCGAAAATGACAATTGTTGCAGCAAAGCAATTACTTATGCGTATATATATGTAAATACGGCTGTAATAGTTCAATGTGAGCGTGCAAGTAACATGCACTCTTAAAGTCATTACATTGCGCATGCGCAACCACTATTTTGAAGGTAGCTGTGTAGGCTGTGGGTGCATGCATAGTGCATCGACATTGGCAGGGGGGCTCAACTGGAGTTGTATGAAAAAGATGACGAACACAAAAAAAAAAAATTCAAACCGTACATTGCCGGTTAATAAAAAAAATTAAAAAGAAACTACTTGGAAAATTTCAGAATTATTTTTTGTATTGTATTTCTATTATCTTTTAAAATAGTTAATTTTATTTTTTAAAATTTCAAAAAGTTTGTTCTTCAAAATTAATTTCTTTTTTAAATTTTTTTCAAAACTTTTTCTCCATATTTTTTTAAAATTTCCAAAAAAAAATGTATTTTATTATGTATATGTTGTTCGATATGCATTAAGAATGACTATTTTATTTGAAATTTAAATTTTAATTTCAATTTTGACTTTCGTATATTAAATTTTAATATATGATTTTCAATTGATAGAATGAATTTCCTGTTTTTTAATTCTGCTTTTGAATTTTTTTTTGTTGCATTTTGATATCTGAACTTTGAATTTTAAGATCTTTTATTTTTATTGTTGTGGATTTTGAAGTTTGACTTCTAATTTTGAAATTTTGAATTTTTATAATTCAAATTTTATATTTTGATATTTCGTATTCCGAATTTTGAATTTTGAGCTATTAATTTCGAGTTTTCAACTTTGAATTTTGAAATTAAACTTTCGCATGAATCGGTTTTGAGTTTTGCTTTAAAAATTAAAATTTTGAGTTTTTAGTTTTGAATTTCGATTTTCTAATTTTTATGATTAACTTTTAAATTTGAATTGAGTTTCGAATTTCAATATTTAAACTTAAAATTTTGAGATTCTAAGTATGAGTTTTGAAGTTTGGCTTTTTAATTGTGATATTTTAATTGAAATATTAATTTCGAAATTCGAAATTTTGAGTTTTGAAGTTTTCATTTCAAATTTTGAATTTGGCACTTTGAATTCTAAATTTCGAATTTATAGTTTTGAATTTCGATTTTTGATTTTCGAATTTTAATATCTGGTATATTATTACATGAATTTAAAAATTGAAGTTCGAGTCATATGGCTGCTATAAATAAAGGTAAAAAACCATACCTAAGTGTTGCAAATAGTATAGCAAAAATATTAATAATATACCTGATAACATTTTCGTGCTTTTTATGATTTAAGAACCCCTATCTATATTGACTCCGAAATCAGCTGAGCAGCTTTTGCAATTCACCGTTAGACAGCTTAAGTGCCTAAGCTTTACTCATCTGTTTCGTTTACCTTTTTCTTGGCGGCGTCTTCGGCACTAAGTCAAGTAATTTTTCTTATATAAAGTTGAATGCGCATGCCACCTACCGCTCCAAAGCAAAAAAGCGCACGAAAAAAAGAGCTAACAATATCAATAAATGCAAACAGCGAGCGTTTCTTATAAACAAAAGCAATGGCAGAGCGAAAAAATAACAGCAACAACAACGCATATATTGACGTTTTGCTCTGATAACTTCCACACATCGCTCCTCAACATACTGCTGCTTTATTTTTATTGCTGTTGTTTTTTTTTTTTTTCTGTTTTGTTTCCAACAGCAAGCAGACTATTTCAGTTTTAATCGCTTTTTTATTTTCTTTTCCAATTACTTTTTAGTTTCGTTGCTAGTTGCGCTTGTGCATCCATTTTCCTCATCGCAATTTTTCCACAAGTGCCGAAGTCTAGTGCGGGTTTCGCGCTTAAGTCTTTTGTGCCATGTTTTGAGTTTGTTTTTGGACGGTTTGGCTTTGCGCGATTTTGGGACTTTGTTGCTACACATAATTAAAAGCGTGCATAGTGATTAAATATTCCATCTCAATTTCTGTTTCGAGGTAAAAAATTTCAGAATGCAAATATTTATTTTTCTTCAAACTTATAGTTTGTACAAGATCGTGTTAAGCAAGAGTTTCAAAATTCAGACATTAAAACGCCAAGCACACTTTCAATGCCATGCAGTTTGATTCATATTTTAGTTGAAGTTAGTTAGTTCTTTGACTTTTGAGTTATAATCAGCTACGAAGATAGTGCTCTGCAGACTTTTAATCTGACTTAGTAGTCACTTAAAATTGTAGTTTGCAATTATTGTGGGGGTAGTAATAATGTTTTGACGTTCATAACTCTCCTAAATTATATTTGTAACGAGTGGTTTTCCACAAGTTTGAAAAGACCTCTTAGGAGTAATGTTTGTTTGTGAACGGTCGGTTTCAACCACAAAGTCGCATTTCAAAATAAAAATGTGTATAATTACGTACATATATATTTAAAATTTGGAAATTCTTGGATTTAACATGATTATTTACAAAAAAAAAAAAAGAAGATTCAAGTGATGATAAAACTTCAGCCGGGATGGAGAAATGATTTTAATTATTACCGAGCTTCAATTTGTTTAATAATACTATGAGAAGTAGGAAATATGAAGCGAACAGTTGTATACCTCATATGCCAGTCCTTAGAATTTTAGTTTCGAAATTTAAAATTTTATTTGTTTATTACATACATGTTTTGAAATTTTTATATATTACCTTGAGTTTTTCATTCCGAATTTTAATTTTGAATTTAAAATGTAGAATTTTTAACTTTTAAAGGTCTTCTAAATTTTGCATTTAGAAATTTAAATTTTGAAGAAATTCTGTATTTTGATTTCATTTGGAAATTTGAACTTTGAATTTAAAAAATTGCATTTTGAAATCGAAGTTTTAAATTTAAATTTGAATATAGTTTTGAGTTTTAAACTTAAAATTTTTATTTGAGTTTTAATTTTAAAACTAAAGTCTAATTTTGAGCTTTGAGTTGCCAATTCATAAATAGTTTTTCAATTTTGAATTTAAAAATTTGGGTTTTGAATTTTTAACCTAAATTTCGAACTTTAATTTTGAAAGTATTTCTGTATTTTAATATGATTTGTAAATCTAAACTTTCAATTTTGATTTATACTTTTTGAAATCAGAATTTTGTATTTGGATATTGCATTTTGAATTCAAAGGTTTAAATTTTAATTTTGAAATTAGCTTTGAGTTTTTAAAAAAAAATTTTAATTTGAAATTCAGTTTTGAATTTGAGTTTTAAGTTATTTTTAAAAGAATTTCTGCATTTTGATTTAATTTGGAAATCTGAATTTTGATTTTTGCATTTTGAAACCTAAATTTCGAAATTGGAATACTGCATTTTGAATTTACATTTTGAATTTGAAGATTTAAGTTTGAATTTTGAAAATAATTTTGAGTTTTTAATTTGAAATTTTACTTTGAATTTTAAATTTTAGAATTCGAATTTGAATTTTGCACTCATTTTTTGTGAATGGTAATGACCTTGATGCTTGTAAAGACTAATAGCAACATTGCTTGAAACAGAAGAATTTCCAATAATTTAAGAAGACCGAAAATTTATCGCTTAAAGTCTGAAATATATCTTTGACAACAAAAAGTTAAAATTGATTCGTCAATAAAATTACTGCTATGAATAAATATAAAAAACAATTATTAACTATTTCCTTAGCTTATTTATTTTCTTAATTTTCACAGACGTTTTTTCGAGAAAGTTAAAAAGCAGTCCAAATAATAATAAAGAAGTTGGCTTTCATACTATGTCTAAAAATGTTTACTGTCAAGAAAAGTTAATCCTCATTTATAAAAGAAATGTACTAGTACAAAAACATATATCGTTTTCATTACAACATAACGCTTTCCTCATGAATATTCATATTTTTGGACACTGTCAATTTAGGACACCCACTTTCATGTTGTTGTTAATAATATTTTTTTACTGCCACTTATCTGTCGGTTTAATCTTTTAATTTCACTTTCTTCGTCAACGACTTTGCCATTTCCGGTGAAATAATATGCCTATATATTGGTGATTGTGTGTGTGTGTGTTGATGGGCTGGTGAACTTCAGACTTTTCTGGGAATTTTCGCTTTTGTGATGAGTTTTGAGTGCATATGTAATACAGAGATAAAAGCAGTTATGGCAACAAAGTTTGTAAAAATGAAAAGTGAAAAACATAAAATAATAAAAGGATGAGAAGAAGAGGAGAGGTTATAGGAGAAGGCAGTGCCGACACAGTGTGCACAACTTAAAAGAGCAGTTCGCTTTTGCTGAGACCATAATGAAATTGTCTTCGTCGCTGAAGTGTAAAGTTGTGACTGTGACTGCGTGGGGTGGCAAATTTAAACAAAAGCAAATTAATTAAGAAAAAACGTACAACAAGACATATATATGTACTTACAAGCGAAGTATTAATCTGAATGTTTAATTTAAAATTAAAATAATAATACATAATTTAATAATTTAAAAACAGTAAAAATGTAAATAAAACATGCAATAAGAAATAATTAATTGCAACTAAAAGTGAAATCCGTTTGGAACAATTTATTTTAATTTTTTTGTAGAGGCATTGTGCGCCATCTGCCATTTCGCTATGTAAACATTGAATAACTCCGATTCAGTTCTTTAGACATGTTTTGAAAATCTCAATTTTGTACAATAAAAAAAAACACCGAAGAGCTGTACAAAGTACCGGCAGGACGGTTTTATTTTGCAATTTCTGGAATCAAAATTTGATTAGCGAAGAGTTCCATTTTCACAATGTTTAGCGGCATTAGTAAGCAAAGAAGAAATACTTGGGA